CTAAATCTACACATTACAGTAAATCCTGTGAAGAACATTTGAGATGTCCTTCTGAAGTGAAAGGCGCTAGATCAAACACAACAATTATTATTACGCTTATTATTTTCTTGGTGTCCTGTAGCTGATTCCTATAATTCTGCTAGTACATTGTCTTACCACTTTCCCTCGTCTTTCTGTATTAATTTTCTTATTTCTTGACTCATCACATTTGTAAATTATATCACTACGTCTTTTTCATTCATTGGTATTTGCTTACTTTGTAAAAATAATAACAATCCTTGCATTTGAAATAGCACCTTATTATGTACCATAACATCTCAAAGTGCTTCAGAGAAATTACTGTAAAGTGTACTATTTTGTAGGCAAACACAGGAGCCAATTTATGCATGTCAATATCCCACAAACAGCCATTAAGTGAATGATCAATTTTACCAGGAGAATAGTTGACCAGGACACTGGGAGAAGCTTCCTTGTCTTTTTGAATAGTGCAATAGGATTTTTAACATCCATCTGAACTTGCAGATAGGAGATCTTTTTAATGTTTCATCTGAAGGACGGCACACATTTCTGACAATACAATACAAAATTACATTTGTAAAGCTCCTTTCACATCGGGAGGACCTCCCAAGGTGCTGAACAGTCAGAGATCAGAACCCGAGGGGGGTGGTGGGATGGGGTGGGGGAGTTCAGGGAGGGTGGAGATCAGAGAGAGTAGGAGAGTGGCCGAAGGCACGGTTGAAGAGGAGAGCCTTGAGGCGTGCCTTGAAGGAGATAAGGGAGGGAGCGAGGCAAAGGAAATGTGGGATGGAGTTCCAGAGGGTGGGGGCAGAGAGGCTGAAAGCCCATGCAGTGCTCCCACGGCAGTGACTCGAGCGCCAGTCTGAACTACGAACCCAAATTCTTGATGTGAGGATTGAACCACAAAGTTCTGTCTTTGTTATGACTCCATAATTTGAATATTTCTCACTGTTCATCAATTAATTCATCATCAATGTTTCCTCCCAATAAATGGTCTTCAATTTAATTCTCATTGCTTCAAAGTTTGCCGTGTTTAAGCACAAGACTTTGATCTGAAACCTTCCATTATCCTTTCCTAATCTGATATTAAGTTCTATCATATCACCATTACCAAGATGGTCACCAACCACCAGATTGTTTACTAAATCTAGCTGATTACTACTCGAAGAGGCACCTTGGGGCACGATGCAGAAATTGCAGAAATAGCCTTCACACTTAAGTCCTTCTATTTCTTCCCAGTCTAAATGTAAATTAAAATCTCCCATTATTACCACATTATTTTTGCAACCAGTATCCCTTAGTCATTAATGCCTATTGACAATCCCACCAATGCTTCAAAGAGATTATGATTGATGCCCTTCTCTTCTGTATTCTACTCTATTTCAATGATGATACTCAGTTTCTTTTTCTCAGTTTCATTCATAATGATTCCACCTCCTAGTAGCAACCACTAAAGCTCTTTTCCAATCCATTGTATTAATTATTATTGTGTTACTGTCTCCTCCTCCATTCTTACCTACCATGTCCTTTTCTAAAAACCTGTAATATTAAGCTCCCTGTTATGCTCTGGATTTAGCTTGGTTTCCATGACAGATACCATACAATAACACGTTAGCTGAACCTGCCCTTCTTGTTCTCCAATTGTTTTAATGGAACCTGTGGAGAGATGTGCTGGTTTGCTCTGCAGCTCTTTCAGTGGATGACCTAATGGATGGAAATTTGAGGAGAATATAGTAGAGAATTTAGGATATACTGCAAAAACAAACCCCCCGCACTTACTATTTCTTTTGTTTATTTAACGTCATGATGTAAGCGATGGAATCACTTTTTCTAGTATTGTGATAGTGTCATTGCAAAAAGGCATTGTTTTAAAATGAGCTCCTAAAATTAGGATCATCATTGAAATAGAGTAGAATGCAGAAGCTTTAATCATCATTTTTTGGCAAAATTGCACTCCTGTAAAATCATACTCCCCATTATTCCTATGATAAGGATGAAGATATACTTAAATTTGGGGTTATTTTTTCCAAAATAACTTAGCCTTTACTTTCATTTGTTTTTTTTCAGACTCCTCAGCTTTCAACAACAAATTACATTTGTATAGCGTCTTTCAAGTCTGGCAATGAACACTATTCTATGGTGATTGAATATTCTCTAATACTAGTGATACAGACTATTCCTTTTTTGTTGATTATAAGGTCTAATCAGTGAGAGCATAATCTGAATTGATAGGGAAATAACTCTTATCACGAGGGAATGGTCTGTAGAAATTATTGGGATTGACCTTAAGTTTTAACACTTATGGTAGATTACCAACCATCTGGTGCTGATTTAAGAAAATAAGCAACATACCAGGTTTTCCAAGAACTCACCGCCCCCCTCCCACCCCACCCCACATAAAATGGAAATAATGGATTTAGTCTTTCAGTACATGAAATTCAATAGCATATATTTACGTATAACTCAAATATTGAATTTTATCCATAGCATATGTTTTCTCAAGAAATAAGATGCAGAATTACTGAGAATTTGGATTATCCTCTGTTCCTCAATCCTTTACTTGAACTATAAATGCCGACTTGGAACTGGTCTTTACCACGTTATATTAACTACCTTTTATATTTAAGCTTCCCCTAAAGGCTTTGCTTTTAAATTCTGGTTATTCCTTGATGACACAAACCAGACCATGGATGATTCAGATCATTCCCTGATGATACACATTATTGCCAATTGATACAGACCATTTCAAGGCAACAGGTGATTGCTAGGAATTGTATAGTTGAAGATGTACAAGAGCAAAAGTACAAGCTCTATTCATGCCTCACCAATAGACTGATTGACTTCAGAACTTCCAAGAAGAACATGTTTTTGAATTTTCCTTGGAATCTCAACCTAAAATTGTATTTATCAAACACAGCCAAAAACTGAATTGTATTTCCAGGGTGTTTGTCTTTTTCTACAGTGTTTGGAGAAAATATCACAAATAGTTTACAGACTGAAAGGGAGACAATCAGGATTATTGGTAGACACTGTAAGTTTCAAACGAACACTCAAAGTCAAACTCAATCCAAACCATTCGCCTTTCATTTATTAAACTGGGCATCTTCAATCAATTTTATTTTGCAATAAGGAGCTCCAGGTACTATTCTGCATATGATCTATGAATGACTAAGATCAATTACTCCAGAAAAGAGATGTTGAATATTTTATTAACTACAGACAGTTTTCATGTCCTTCCTAATGCTTCTGGGTTGACGTTTTAGGGGAAGCCTCACAGTTGGGAACCTTTAAAGAGGATCAAAACTACTATAACCTTCCCTCCTTCTGCTGGCTAAAAGGCTTATTGTAATTGCATGAAGGTCACCAACAGCAATCTCAAGATTTAATTAAATGAGAAGGTCCTGCTTACAAAAGGCTGGGAACTCTGTAATTTTAGACCAGTAAATGGAATCTTTTTGAAGTGGCGGATTAAGCATGATCAGGCGACCAACTCGACCCAAACCCACTCAAGTGTTTTTTCTGTAAATGTATATATGTTTGCAGAACCTCGAAGAATACAAAAGATGAAATTATAAAACTATAGAGGCATTAACTCTTTGTCTATCAGCCCTCAATTCTTTAGTTGCAAATTAATGAAAATGACAATGAAATACGAAATTAAAATAATGTTGTAAAACAACCTGCAAACGAATAAGATGATTTGTTTGTTCAAAGTTCATGTCACTACTTGGAATTAAATTTCTCCCTGGGTCCTGGCCAGCAATCCTCCCGATAAAATTGGCCATTCACTTAGTGGTGGTATGTGAAACCCTGCAGTAAACTTTTGTGAAGCACATTGATACATCTTGACAATGGGATAAGGCTCTATATCAAATGCAAGAATTATCACATCATCAAATTACTTCACAGATTTTACTGTGATGTGCACTGACTATTTTTTCTGTAGGTGAACACAGTGACCAAATTTGCACACAGCAATGTGGCACAAACAGCCATGAAGTCACTGACCAATTATTGAGTTGCAAATCAAGTGTTATTTATTAGTTGCAAGTGCCCTTATTTGAGGGATTGTTGGTCAGAACACTGAGAGAGACTCTCTTCTCTTTTCAAATAGTTCCATGGATTCTTCAACATCAAACTGAACAGGCAGATGGCACCTCGGTTTTAATGGCTCATCCAAAGGATGGTACCTCAACAGTGCAGGGCATTGTGTTGGAGTATATAATAGCCAAATAAATGGAAATAAGTAGAAACAGCCTTTCATTGATGATTAAGAAAAGGTCAATATACAAGGAGCAGCCAAAGGATTGCCAATAGCGGTCCGATATCTGAGATGAAAACTCAGAGGGAGTTACAAGTGCCCTCAATAATGTAATTAATACTTAACAAAATGGATTATACGTGTCTACACATTGTAAGCAGAGGTTCCAGATTACCCTCCATACTAATGTGTGCATGTTGAACAATCTTATCAGTGCAATGTAAATTATGTAACATCAGCAACCAACTCCAAATAAAAAGTAAAGAGGAACACACAACTGAATTTCGAAAGAGGGGTCAAAACTCTCCAAATCTGGCCACTGACTGAAACATTTTAAAATGATATTCTAAAAAAAAATTATGTCAATGACCAGTGACCCCAATATTGTGACATTAAATGGAATACTGCAATATTCCCATATGACAAGTTACTGATCCCAGCTTGTAAATGAGGGAAGGAGAAGATAGAGGTATTGTCTTTCCAGGAGGCAACATGTGAAGACAATCTGTGCTCTACTCTTGCTCACATCAGTACTGAGCAGTATAAGACATCGCCAACCACACTCCCTTTCTCTAATCTGCTCTAAGCTATAATGATGCTTGGTTTTATTAACATGGAATGCAAAAAAAATTCCACTTTTCAGAAATATATGTCCATTGTATTCAACCGAACACAAAACTGAAAACTGTGTTATAACAGCCACAGTTACATTAAAACTTACTTCCTTCCACTTATTAGCTTTCCAAGTGGGGCATCGTCCCATCCTGCAATGTTTGTAGGTTCGAGGCTTCCTCAAGTGTCTGCAATGCTCTTTGTCCACAGGCTCCTCCTCTGAGTTGATGCAGTCGACTTCTCGGTGTTTAGTTCCCTTCCCACAAGACACAGAACACTGGGAACAAAATACAGAGTTTTAAATCTAAATATCTAGTGTGCACCGATACCAATTTCTAATAGCACCAATTTTTAACAGGATTGCTTGACATGAAAACCAGAGATAAATAACACTGAGCTGCTGTCTACTTTCGGAACGGGTTTCCTGCAAGTCTGTGTGACGTGCTTCACGATACTGAGTCCTCACTCACATGGAAAAACAAGACCCATTACTATTTGAAAGGAAACATAATCCGAAGTATCTGGTTAGAAAATTAAGAAACAGAAAAAGAATTTAGCAAATCCATGGTGATAAACAATAAAGTACTGCAACGGAAACCCAGATATTAGACTCATGTTTACCAGTCTGTGCAATCATTCATTTGAAATCAAGTCAGCTCATGTATTATGCATTACTAAGCACCCCTACATGAGCGAAACTCGCTCCTCTTTTCAGATAGTGCTATGGGATCTTTAACGGTGTATTGAGAGAGCATAATTCAGCTTGTTATGACTTGCTGCGTGAAGAACAGATGAAAACTCGGAAAGAACTCATTCATGATTCATGATCATTAATACATGCATGTATAAAAATAAACATTCACTGAACCTAATAAGTTGCAGTTTAACATAGATTGAACTGATCACACATCTTACACACAACTGACTAACAACAGAAACTAACAAGCCTTTATGTGTTATTACAATAGAGATGAATGGACCTCTTTTTTTTCTCCATATAAACCATAAAAGGATAGAAAAGTAATCATGGATTTGTGGAGGTGCTGAAATCCAATTTAATTTTATCTGTTTATCTAGCAGTAAATAGGAACCTGGGAGTTACTGGATTGGTGGATCGCTTTCTGGGGGTAATAATCCCTTAAAAATGTTTTTAAAAATTTAGTCACTCATTCTACGATTGTTTGTGGGACACTGCTCTGTGCAATTGCCTGCCACATTTCGCCCACAAAATATGCTGTCAATTATAATAATGATAATAATCCTTGCATTTGATATAACCTTTATCACGTCTTCGAGACATTTTAAACCACTAAACTACAGGACTACTTCACTTTACAGAACATTCTGTGAAGCTTTTTGGGACATCTCAATTACATGATGACACAAATACAAGGATTATTATTATTATTTATATTAGAAATACAAGGATTATTATTATTATTTATATTAGAAGTACATAATCCAGTTAGTTCAATAGCTTAAAGTGCTGGAGTGAATTAACATACCATTGGAGCTGAGAATATTTGTCAACTGCACACCACGTAGAGTTGAACACTGGTCTTATTTTTTCAGTATAAACTCAATGTGCATGTGCAAAAATGACTTCACATGCACAATGTTAATCAATGGAAAAGAGTAATTGAAAACCCTCACCATTTATATTTCCTCCTGATCTATATTTTCCCAATTATTACTATATAATGTGTACTGAAGGAGCATTTTCCACCCCAGCTGCTAAATATAACAAGGTACTGTAGCTCAGTCTATTCAAAGATTACGTAACACAGAAATCTTTTAGACTTCATGTCTCCCTTGGCCAATTCCTTAAAATCTTCAAATTTTTCAAGTTTAGCTTAGATGTTGCCATTCAAAATATAAACAAATATAAAAATATAAGAATAATTTCTATTGAAAACTGGAATCAAAAGAATTTCAAAAAGTGCAAAGAAACTGCAAACTCCATTGAATTGGCTGGCATCATTAAAACACTCGCATTTGGCACATCTGAGCTCAATTTGTTTTGCTGGTACATTGTTCTGGACTAGTACAGTGTTCAGCACAACACTCGTACACTGTTTAATTACATTTTATAAACACTGCCTGCAGAAGCTAGCAATTTGTTTAAAAAAAATCTTGGGATCTCATATACAAATTGCAACCAGAAGGCAAATTTTAAATGCAGTGCAACAACAACAATCTACATAGTGTCTCTCATGTCAGGATGTCTCAAAACACTTTAAACAGTACACTGGGTATGTAAGCTGGTGCAGAGTGGGTGGGGGTGGGGTGGAAAGGTAATCGATAGCATGTTCAAAAACATAGTCTTAAGGCAGGGTGACGGCAGAAAGCCTGAGGTGGAGGGACTCTAGGATGGAGTTCTAGAAAGCAGGGGCAGAATGGCTATCAATGGTGGGGTGGATCGAGACAAACACACAAAGCAAGCTGGTGTTCGCTGAGCAGAAGGAGCAGCTAGGGCAGTCGAGTTGCATGAAGTTGCACAGGTGGAATAGGGTTAGACTGTGGAAGGATTGGAACTCACGGATGAGGATCTTGAATTCTATCCACTGGGGATTGGGGAGCCAGTGAAGCCAGGCGAGGATGGGGGTGAATAGATTCATGGAGCCTGGTGCGGGGGAGCATAGATACTCCAGAGTTTTGGACAGTCTGCGACTTGTGAAGGGAGGAGTTGGGGAGTTCATCGAGCAGAGTTCAAACTATCCTACTGATGCTTTGTTTGAAGGAAAGTAATATTTTGGCACGTCATATAAACTGGTGCTGCAATTTCACAAACACAATTTTTTCTATCTATTACTGCAGCACTGATGAAGAGATGGGGGAGGGGAAAATATGTCAAATGGGTAAATAGTATTGTAAAGCAACAACAATAAACTACTGCTCCAATAACAATATTCAAGGATTTGTGTAAATAAAAGCACACTGGGCCCGCTGTTATACAGAAGGAAAAGAACTTTTGCTTTATTTGGGCGATTTGTCCGAGTAAATTTCCAATCTCAGTTATAAAACCAAATCGGAGTCATTTCTGGGAGCCTCAGAATTTCCCCACTCTTTTTCAATTGCATAATAATTCGAGACTGCAGTGTTGCTTACCACTGAATGGGCCTCACTGAGGCTTCTGCTTTACTTGAATTTTAGTCCTGCAGTTGCTTGTACTGTACTTGGCATCCTGCAACTTCCATAAACACAGTAATTACACAGGCATTTCAAACACAGGGTAAGATGTCAGCAGTCCTCAGGTTCAAAGCGCTTCAAGAAAATCTCCACTTGAATAGTCTACGATACGAGTGTCTGTTCCATGATAATGAATGTTTATGCTGTAAGAACTTTTTGCACTTTGAAGATGGCACAGCTTACAAAAACTGAATGTGTGAGGAAATGATTTCTTATCTCTGAAAATTGTTTCTTTAGCCAAGGCTTTACAAGCTCGTAACCGTGCCTCCTGGACTGCGTCACTCAATCACTCACATTAGGTTCTTAACAGTGGGATATCACATCCATATGGGGAAAATGTCCCTCTGTTCCAAGACAAACTCATCTGCCAGACATCACTTAATCAAAGTTGTTAATCCTTTCAGACAGATAACAGAACAGCAACTGAGGCACTCTCCCTCTCGGATGAACCCAAGAGGCCAGAGCAAGAGCTCTGCAGTCTATGAATAGATTCAGCATGTGAACAACACAGAAAATACTCCAGGTAGGTTACTCTTTTCTTTGTTATTTTTACAGATTCTGCATTTACCCACAACAAAATTAGGAAAAGTCTCAAATATTTCTCAATAATAAACAAACCTACAGCACTTTTTTGTCCAACTTCTGGATGAAAACCCCTGCATGTTTTTTAAATTCTAAATGATTTATATTTGATCGTAAAATGACTGCTAATTTTAACTTCTGTAAAATAGAACAGTGGCAGTACTTAAACTCTCGGAAAATGTTATGCACTTATTAGTTGAAAGAGACCAGGGTACCTTACAAAAGGAATTGGTTTGATGAATTGTTGTTAAAAAAAGTCCCATGGTAATAAATATTTGTCAGTCAGAGGATCTTGGTAAAACATTATCTGTGCATAATGCAATTGCCAAAACCCTCTTGAGATTTTTGAGTGTTGAGGGAGAAAATAATATATATTTTCTGTTTGCGCGAATGCATTAAGGTATTTTCTGTACTGCGTCTCAAAAGATGTTGTTTTATATGGTCTCTGGAGATTTAACACTGTGTTAAATAATGTTACACAATGAGATCAGGATATCTGTGCAGGCATTACTGATATTTAACTTTACATAATCGAGTCAGATCTCCAAAATGCAGACCATTGGACTCTGACACCAAGCTGGTTCATGCAGTTGGCTGTCCTTCTGCACACAGGTTCAGTAAACTACATAGTGTTACATAGAGTGGCAAGGAAACAGGCTATTTGGCCCAACTGGTACATGATGACACTTATATTCCAGTCAACCATGTGGAACTGCTGATCTGACAATTGCACCCCATTACAAACAATGTAAATTTGCATTTAAAAAGCACCTTTCACATGTGCAGAAAGACAGGCAACTGTCGTGATTCAACACAACCGTGGGAAACTACAATTCTTACTTTCAAGTCATCACTTCAGTAACAATTTCACTCATGTACACAAGCAGGAGGAGGCAATTCAACCTTCCAAGGTGCGTAGCTCCCACTTGGGAGAGGAAAGATGATCTTGCACAAGGTGATGGAGGGGATACTGTATGAGTTGGGATGTTTGCAAACCTGGAACTTAGTTATAACTGGACTCCACTTCTGTTCTAAGTTTTGTTTTCAACCACATTTATTTTGCTAAATGTGTTAGCATATGTTTGTGGTCGGAAGCTTGGGTGTTGCTGCTGATTGTGGCTGAGTTTTTCCTTAGCCAACATTTCCCCAAATAAAATTGGTAATTCACTTCATGGCTGTTTGTGAGACATTGTTGTGTGCAAAATGGTTGCTATGTTTGGCCATAAAATATAGAGTTGCTATACAATAAATCCTGTGAAGTGCTTTGAGTCATCTAAATGACAAGATAAGGTACTATATGAAATTCAAGGATGGTACAACAACAACAACATAGAGTGCCCTTCATGTGGGATAGCGTCTCAGAGCACGTACTTATTTATTGATATATTTTTTAAAATGTTATTCAAGAGTTAGTTATGCAACCAGCTACCTGTAGTTTATAACATTAAAAAAGAGCCCATAAAGTTTTAGGGGACCATTATTGAGAACAAACAAATCCATTATGAC